ACCTCACTGGGCAGGTGGAGGCTAAATGGTGTCTACTGAGCCCTGAGAGCAAGAGCCTTAGGAAAGAGGTCCAGAAATACTCATGTCACTTTTAAATTGCCAATCTCAAAAGAGAAATCATGGCAAGGCTCATAAGAAYGGAACCTCGAGCCAGCAGAATGAGTTTGCATCCCAGCTCTTCCCTCCCACTGTTGCAGCAACAAATCAGATACCCGTGGAGAGCCGCACTGAAACATATCTTCAGAGCCCAGGGGCCAAATGGGATGTTTTACTGCATCAAATAAGGCCCAATAATGGCCTCCGGCACTTCCAAATAGTCATAAAATATCCTAGGCCAGCAAGGCAGTTTGTAGGCTCAACACCTCCTAAAGAACAACTGCTTGACTGGGTAAAGCATCTTGACCAAAACCAGGCTTGGATTGACATCCTTTGGAAAAGAGGCCAATAGAATCCACTATTGAGATGGGTGCAGTGGTGCGTGCTTGTAATTCCAGGAGCACAAGTTCAAGGTCTCAGCCACTTACTTAGACCCTGTCTTAAAATAAAAAATAAAAAGAGCTGGGGATGTAGTTTCATGGTAGAGTGCCCCAGGGCTCAATCCCCAGTATTGCATGCATGTACGCATGCATGTGTACCTACACACACACACACAATTTTCTCTTGAGAGTGTTACCAGAAACAAGCAAGAAAACTGTGTGCATGTTTTTAGGAATGGCCTTCAGGGACAGGCCCACAGTGTCACATCTAGGAGGAGCCCTCCTAACATCAGCCAATGACTCCTAATGCCTTCCATGTGCTCCTACAGAGCTGGGAGCTGAGTCTGGGTGGCCACTGTAATTTTTTCTGGGTGTGCAATGCCCACAACTTGCTCTCACCCCAGTCCACACTCCTCTTTCTTCCCTCCTCCTTTGAACACGACAACAAAGGGAAGGTTCTGGAACTGAGAAGCCAATTTGCTGCCTTTTGTGTCAGGGCCAAGGATGCTCTACCAGACAAGATGCCCAGTTCCTAATGCAGTGGCCTACAGGGTCATAAGGACAGCTGGACATAGGAACCACGTATTAAACATGAATTACTTAGCATCCATCTTTGAGGCTGGTGATGTACACCAGGGGTCACTAGGGAGGCTCTGGCTGCTTGTTTTAATTGTGGGAGATGCCTTTCACGCATATTCACTCTCTCCCTGTGATTTATCACTTCCCTGAGTGTCTGGAGTGTTCTACTTCACTTCGCCAGCCCTGAATCTCCAAGGGGATTCAGCAGAAATTGAAGATGACATTGGACTTTTATGTCTTTCTGATCAAGGAGTGGGAGCTGAGCTTCCCATGAATGTCAAGCCTCCTCTGGTTCCGTCTCTTCCCTCAGTGGGACCCATAGCTGGACCTAGATGATCTGATTAGAAAGCTAATAAAATAAGCTTTCTAAGCCTCACAACCCTCATAACTTCTCATCTGTTGATTTCTTTGAAATCCTCTGCTCCATTTGAGACCATGGACACAAAAATTATCACTTGTTTGCTGGCACCTTGGGCTAGCCCAGGACCAAGAGACTGAAACCAGTCTCTTGAAAGAGGATGACAGCAAGACCATGAAATGTGCATGGTCTGGGACCATGTTTTTATCTCCAGGTTGTGGTAGCACAGCTAAACCCCAACCTGAGCACAGCTCCTGCATTAGCACTGCGGATCTGAGGGCAAAGCACTCAGGACTCAAGGAATACTATGTGCCCCACCCCCACCCAAGTCTGGCTGATGCCAGTAACATGTGTAGCTCTCTTGGACAATGAAACAAATCCAGGTTCCCCAGTGTGTGTGGTGTGTGTGTGTTTGTGTGTGTGTGTGTGTGTGTGTGTGTGTGTATGTTTTCATTTTAGGGATTGAACCCAGAGGTGTTTTACCACTGAGCCAACCATTTTTATTTACTATTTTAAGACAGGGTCTCACTAAGTTGCTTAGGGCCTTGCTAAGTTGGTGAGGTTGGTATCAAACTTGTGATCCTCCTGCCTCAGCCTCCTAAGTAGCTGGGATTACAGGTGTATACCCTTGTACCTGGCTTTATTCCTCTCAAGAGAGGAAAAATTATAGAAAAAGAAGTGGCAGAGCAATGGTAAAACCCTGAGTAACCAACTGTCATAGCCTCTCAGCATTCCTAAGGGATCACGGTAACACTTAAATTAGCTTCAGCTTTCCACAGCCCCCGTGGGAACTGCTTGAACCACACCGGACACTGAACTTCTCAACAAGGAGGAGGAATATTATATACCTGGACTGCAGTAGGTGAGAGAACCATTCTTCCATTGAAATCTAAGATCTAAAATCACTAAAATAGAATAAAAACCCCAATAGGCTGGTTTGGACCCAGGTTAAGAAACGTTTAGGAAACTCTGCAAGTCAGCACTGGTCTTTCCATCTCTCATCTCCAGATATTCTAGATGGAACTCTGCCTTTGACATCTAGGTACTCACATTTCCAAAGCCTGAGGTGGCACTTCTTCTCTGCTAGGCTTGCATTAGTTCACCCTGTGGTAGGCAAGACTTCAGAGCCACCTTTGCACAGATATCTGGCTGGTCATGGAGTCACCAGTCACAGGGACCACCAAAGTCTAGAAAATGGAGCATGCCTCAAATATTGAGTGCAGCAAAAACCACCAATATGTAATCCAGTGATGCTGAGAGTCCAGTCTTATTAAAAGGCAGACTGCCAGGCATGGCGGTGCACACCTGTAACCCCAGTGACTTGGGAGCCTTAGGCAGGAGGATCACAAGTTCAAGGCCAGCCTTGGCAACTTAGTAAGACCCTCAGCAAATTATCAAAATCATGTCTCAAAAAAAAAAAATCAAAAGGGCTGGGGATGTAGCCTAGTGTTAGAGTGCTTCTGAGTTCCATCCCCAGTACCACAAATAAATAAATAAGTGAAGTCCACATTTTATTAACCCTTGATTAAACAGAATTCTTGATTATCTAGAGCTTGACAACATGTTTAAAAACAAGTTCACAAGAAGACATTAAGCGAATGAATGAATGAATGCTTCCATATACAGTTTCTCATAGCTTAATGATGGAGACACATTGTGAGAAATGTGTTGTTAGGTGATTTTGTCACTGAGTGAAAATTATAGAATGTGCTTACACAAACAAACTGCTATGATGTCACTAGGTGATGCACTCTTAAGGGACCATAGTTGAATACTCAGTCCTCATTGACAAAATGTCATTATGGGGGACCTGACTATTTATTCTAGAAATGGTACAAATTTGACTAAAAAATGTAACTTCAAATTATTTATAATAAAAATTCAATTAGAACTTATGGTTAAAATTTAGGATATTGGCTGGGCATGGTGGTGCACACCTGTCATCACAGCAACTCGAGAGGCTGAGGCAGGAGAGGATTGCAAGTTCAAAGCCAGCCTTAGCAACTTAGTGAGGCATTATGCAACTTGGTGAGATCCTGTCTCTAAATAAAATACAAAAAGAACTAGGGATGTGGCTCAGTGGTCAAGTGTCCCTGAGTTCAATCCCTGGTCCACCACCGCCCCAACCCCCGACAAAAAAGCAGTTTAGGAAACTGGAGCATTTAAATATTCTGCATCATTATAGAAGGAGGATAAAATCATATTCAGATGAACAGTATGATCATATGCAGAGAAAAACTGAAAGTATAGGCTGAAATGAATCATAATTTTCTGTTTGTTCCTGTTTAACCAAAGTTTAGAAACCATAGTGGGTCCCTGTGGTACTAGTTGCATGGGGTCACCACTTGGACAGAAATCCCCCTGACTTGYCCATTCTGATGCCGGTCATAACTGTTCTGCTCAGAACACACACTGGTGCGTGTCAGGATATCAACACCAATGTGAAGCATGAAAGAAATAGTTTTCAAAATCAATCAGGGCTCAAGTTACACCCAAATCAGGGTTCATGCCATGGATTCTTGGAACCACTGACAGCTCTAATCCATCTTATTAAAGATCTATCTGGGACTTTAATAGCTAACTTCTCTCGCTAAGATAATGACTATAAATATGATCTATCTTATGCCAGATCTTATTTTTGGTAGAAATTTCCGATTAACTTATTCTACTCGACTAAATGAGGACGCCGATAGACACATATTATATCCCTGTCGGACAGTGCAGGGCTTACTGGCATGGACGTGACTGGGGATTAGGTGAGAAGCAGGGGCAGGATGTTATTTTATTACCAGACAAAATAAATTATCTTCACCACCTAGGCATTGGAAGAATAAGCAGCAATCATTCCATTAATTCACTAAACAACCACTGATCGCTCATCTTCTGGGTGCCTGCAACAGGACTGTTCCAATGTGAGATCACCCGGAGCACAGCCCCACTCCACACTACAGAGAAGTTGAAGCTAAGTTGCCTTAAGAGCTGAGATGGGACAGACAGCCCACCAGACTGAGAGATGAAGCCCCTATGCTCTGAGTTTGCTGCACTTGAAAAGAAAAGGGGTCTGTACAGAATGGGAAAGCTCTAAAGGAAAATGAATGAGCGTGGGTGACCCCTCCCTTTCATGACCAGAAGCTGCCAGGTGTGGCCACAGGCCTGCAGAGCTTACCACCACATGATAGGTTGTGATCTTCAGTTAGAGACACAGTCTGGAAAGCACCGGAATTGGCCCCACTTCCATGCTAGGGTTATTTATCGAAGGAGTACATCACCAAGACAAAGGGCTTTTAGACAGACCTGACTGGACAAGAAGCCATGACCTTTCCCAGCCCAACAATGACACAGATGGGAAGGACAACCAGTCCTATAGTCCCGTGACATGCTCTTCAGAACAAGGCAGCCATCTGGGCTCTGGAGACTGGCCTGGCCCCACAAAGTGGACGCCTGCTCTCAGATCAAAGCATGCTGTGGCCAGTACCCAGGTCTCACCTGCCCTCAGGAGGGCTCCTGGTGGCCCGAGGACAGAGACAGGCAAGCTCATGCATGGGTTAGTATCACAGAGGGCAGTACCATCACCACAGACAGAGTACCTGGGAATAACCTACTTTGAGGGCTCAAATGCAGATAGGTCTTCTGCCTTGGGCTTGAGGCTAAACCAGCAAAATAAAATGAAGAAAAACAAAAACATACCCTGTGATATCAACAATGCCACATGTGCCATTTGCAAAATGCTCAGACAGGCCTGAAATAATGATGAGTGACTTCGCTTGTTTTAATGGCTTGAAAACAGGTCTCTCTAACTTCAGCACTCCAAGTTCTCATGGCTGAAGGTCCAGCTCACTACAGCAGCAGTGGCAAAGAGGAGACCGCTTTCGGTGCTCAGGGGAAAAGAGCATGGGGTGGGGTCTGAGGAACCTCCCTCAAAGTGGACTAGCTCATTGGCCCAATCATCGTTTTACCTCTTTGCTTAGTGGTAGAGGCCTCCTTTTAACTTTTTAATAACTTCATTTGGGCTAGGGATATGGCTCAATGGTAGTGTGCTTGCCTGATTCAATCCCCAGCACCGCACACAAAAAAAGGGAAACCACTTTAATAACTGTTTTAGAAGGGATATCCAAGAAAGGACAGAAACCAGAGGAAAGAACAAAGAACATGGAAATGCCTTTCCTTCTAGGTTATGCTATTAAAAGTGATTCTCTACCTGGTGCCAATTGTAACTGGAGTCATTAGAGAGAAGTGGGAGTTCCCTACTGTACCCATCAATGATGACAGGCAGATTCAGTCACAGCTTAACCACTGAAAACAGAGACAGTCCTTAAACTGGGAGACCATTTTAGAGAACATTTTAAAGGTAAAGAGTAAAACTTGAACCAGATCAATGAATTCTAAGATCATCTAAACCCAATAAACAATCTTATTTTAATAACACCTATTTTAAGCTGGATACAGTGGCTCATGTCTGTAATCCCAGCAACTAGGGAGACTGAGGCAGGAGGATTGCAAATTTGAGGCCAGCCTCAGCAATTTAGCAAGGCCCTAAAGCAACTTAGTTAGACCCTGTTTCCAAAAATTAAAAAAAAAAAAGGGTGAGGATATACTCAGTGGTAAAGTACCCCTGAGTTCAATCCCCAGTACAAAAAAAATTTAAAAATAATCAAAAATAAAAAAAACCCACACACCTATTTTATAGTAAAACCTGGTCCTATGCTATCAGTTAAAAACAGAGCATTAACTGACTGGTAAAGACCTTTTGCTTTGCCTATATAAGGGAGTTACGCTCTTGGGCTGATAATATGTATGGAACTTAACTTCTAAATATCTAAAATGCCGAGAGCTCCAAATATCAGGCAAGGAAGACGGGCTACTGTGAGCCTCGTAGATGAAAGCTCATTTTTTAAAACATTAATGTTCTCCTAGGTAATTCAAGTATGAAAAAAGTTGAAAATTCAGAATATGATTTCTCTATCAAGTCCTTGCCACTTAAAAATGCAAAAAGACTAGAGGGGACTCCATTCTTCATTGTGCCTTCTCATTAAGCAAGGCAGTTCCCTGGGCATAACTCCCCTTGGCTTAAAAGACAGAACCGCTTAGTGCTCAATGATGAATCAAAACCCATCTTCTAACAGGGATTCATCTCATCAGAGCTTTTAACACAAGTTTCACTTCCATCAAGCCAGTGGGTTCATGGTCGCTGGTAGATTAAATTCCTTTTCTGGCAGGAGTTGAAAAATTTCCTCAACTAAGTACATGTAAAAAATGACAACAATCTAATGACTCGCCTCCTGAGGAAACCAGATGCCAACCTCACATTTCGCTAATGAATGTCCTGATCAGTAAAATCCAAGAGACTGGGTACCTTTTTAATGGTATTGTGCTTGCTGCTGGTGCCACCTCTGTCCGAATTCTCATTGTGCAGAATATCCAAAGCTGTTTCCCTTTCTTTTAGTTTCAAGGCCTCAATTTCTGTCTTGAGCTCATTAAGCTGCTCCTGGAGATGCTTGCTCTTCTCCATATATTCCACTCTGTAGGCAAGAGGACACTGTGGATCAGGGCACAGATGAACCCTGAGGCATAGGTGAGATGGTTTGTGACCCACAAGCTGCACAGCCAGGGTCTAAGGTCATTCATAGGCCAGCCATGGGAGCTTGGGCTGGTCACTTAAATGCAATGAATGAATCTGTTTCCTCATTGGTAAAATTGGAATAATGATCACAGGGCTATATGGTCAGGATTAAACAAAGTACAGGAGCTTGGCATGGTGGTACACATCTGTAATCCCAACAACACAGGAAGCTGAGGCAGGAGGATCCCAAGTTCCGAGCTAGCCTCAGCAACTTAGTGAGACCATATCTTAAAATAAAAAATTAAAATTAAAGGGGCTGGGGCTATAGCTCAGTGGTAAAGTGCCCCTTGGTTCAATCCCCAGTATCTCTCTCTCTCTCTCTCTCTCTCTCTCTCTCTCTCTCTCTCTCTC